ACTGTTCAGTGATTTGTAGACATACATGAGTATTTTGAACTGGATTCGAAAGTGAACCGGTAACCAGTGCAGTGAGGCCAAAACTGGTGTAATGTGCTCTCTTTTGCCTGTACTGGTTAAAAATCGGGCTGCTGCATTCTGGACCAGTTGTAGTCGTGCAATGGAGGTTTGACTGATACCAAACAGGAGTGAATTGCAGTAATCAAGCCTAGATGTAATGAATGCGTGTATTACTGTCTCCAGGTTCTTTTTGGACAATATGGGCTTCAGTTTAGACAGCCGCCTCAGTTGGAAGAAGCATGATTTAACAATCATGTAAACATGATTGTTAAGTTTCAGGGAAGGGTCCATTATCACGCCCAGATTAGTGACTCTTTGTTTTTCTGACAGGGTTAGAGCGGTGAGGTCGATGCAGTGGTTTGTGATCGTGTCGTTGGGAGGGAACAACATGACTTCAGACTTCTTTTCATTGAAACTTAAGAAATTTAAAGCTATCCAGTCCCTGATGTCAGCCAGGCAGTCGAGCAGAGGTTGAATAGAGCATGTACCATTGTGTCTTAGGGGGAAGTAAATTTGACAGTCATCGGCATAGAAGTCTGTCTGCCTGTCTGTCATGTTTACACAGACGTCTTATCTGCTGCAGGTCTTTCAGTGTTAAAATAGCAGACAAATAGCTTCAACCTGAAAAGAAGGTGCTTTTATAAGTTTACTTAATTTTCAGTTCACTCAAAGTTTATTGTGTCATTATTATTAAGACCAGTGATGAATGCAAACCTTTAAGCTGCTAATAGTTAGAAAACTATTCAAAACTTCTTACTATGTTTATGCTAAATAATTTCTATTCACACCCACTAAAATTCATTCAACCTTTATTTAGACAGGTAAATCCCATTGAGCCCCGAGGACTCATTTACAAGAGAGACCTGATTTCAACAAAGAATGATGACAACAATAGACAACAGCAACAACAATAAACAATTATAAAAAGGCATACAGATTTAATTTTTTTTAACAAATAGGATAGCTCAAAAAAGAAAAGTAACAAACATCAGCTAGATTATAAGGCAAATGTAGAAAACTAAAAACAGGAACATGTCTGCATTGGTCCCTGCCAGGTGTCCAACAGATTTTTAAAGCCACTTAGAGAGGTCAAGGTCGAGAGCTTCAAATCTTTTTATAAGATATTCCAGGAAACAGGAGCGGAGTAGGAGAAGGTCCTTTTGCCTAGTTCAGTCCTCATTGAGGGAACACTGCAGGTAATAATGTCCTGAGAGCGCACGCTGTAGCTGCACTCACGCAGAGACATGTAGGAGGAGATGTATGAAGGCAACACACCAAGAAGTGATTTAAAGATGAAAATGTACCAGTGGGAGAGTCTGTGTGAAGTTAATGATGACCAGTTAACCAGTGAATACAGGGTGCAGTGGTGGGTACGATAATCACAGCCAGTTATGAATCTTAATGCACCATGATGGACAGCATCCAACATCTGCAGGGTGCTTGTAGGAGCGTTCATGTAAATAATGTCACCGTAATCAATGGAGGGAAGGAAAGGTCACAGGACAAAATCAATTATTTCTAAAGGTGAAAATTCTCAGAATCAGAAATATCACGGTCATTTAAAACCCTAGTTATAATAAATACAACACAGATGGTCCCAAATATGAGCTGGTGTCATCATCTCCAGCTTTGTGGTAAACTTTGATACACATGTTGTGGATGGGGCAGCACGGTGGTGCAGTTGGTAGAGCTGCTGCCTTTCAGCGAGGATGTAGCCCCAGTTCAAATCCTGGTCTGGGGCCCTTTCTATATGGAGTTTGCATGTTCTCTCCGTGCATGTGTGGGTTTTCTCCCGGTACTCCGGTTTCCTCCCACAGACCAAAAACAGGCATGTTAGTCTGATTGGTAACTCTAAATTGTCCCTAGGTGTGAGTGAGAGAGTGAATTGTTGTTTGTCTCATTTGTCTCTATGTGTCCCTGTGATGGACTGGAGACATGTCCAGGGTGTCCCCCACCTCTCCTACAGTTACTGCTGGATATGGGCACCAGTGACCCAGAAAGGAAGAAGTGGGTAAAGATGGACGTTAGCAAATGTGTCTTGATGTCCTGTCCATGAACACTTCAAACAGGACTGAAGACGAGGGACAGCCCACACACAGTCCCACCTGCTCTGCAGACACAGTTCCTGTTTGGTTATACAGAGACTACTGAATAGCCCTAAAAAGCAACCCTGGCACACCCGCAGACCTCCACCCCCCCAACAGAACTTTCTCTAATCGATTTAATCTTCATCCTTTCATGTCTGCAGCATCTGGAAAGCTCTCACCAGTAACTACGGTCAGAAGATGCCGGTGGACTGGAAACAGTCGGGAACTCGTTCCCTCTACATCTCCACATTCAACCTGGAGGAGCAACCCGTGGGTGACGCCCCCTCCCCCTTCTCATTTCCTGCCCCAGTTTCCCCTCGTCCTCAACACCAAATCACACAAATCTCAAATTGTCACTGTGCGAGGGGTTTAAGCTCTATGATTAAATACACCCCCCCCCCCCCCCCCCGCTCTGTCCCTGGATAGAGAAAGACGGATTTTGCAGCGGAGCTGTCGGACGAGGAGGAGCTGAGGGAGCAGCTGGACATGCGCTCCATCATCGTCCCCTGTCTGGAAGAGGAGCCCCTCGTCACGGCAGAGCAGGTGCAGGTGCAGCAGCTTGGCTGGACGCTCCGTGGATGTTTTGTGACGCCTTGTTGCTCCGCGCAGGTGATCGAGGAGATCGAGGAGATGATGCATGGCTCGCGCGACGTGGACGCAGAGCACACCTCACAGTCGGACCAAACGACGCTCTCTCTGGACATCCAGCTGTCCCGCCCTGGCTTTGAAGACCGTGAGTGTCTACTGCAGTCCTTCACATTACC